AAAAAAACTGACACATACGAACGTCAAACCCTTTGGGGGTTTTACTATACTGACCTAGTACCATCATCCTGACTTGGAATTTCTCAACCCCCAGACAATAATCCCAAAAATGTTCCACAGTGTAATTGGCCAAAGGCCTTTACCGACTTTATAACTTCATGGCGTTTGATATACAAACTTATAAGTTGGACTTACATTACAGGGGAGATAGGCATGTGTGCCAGCCTGACTGATCACTGTCTGGTGGTCGTCGATGGATGGAATAGGCCGTGGTGTTGTTGTTAGAGAAGGTCGATTCGTCTTTGCTTTCGTTTTTTTTGGTGATACCGAAAACTCTTTTGTTGTGGTGTGTAAAATTTCTTGGTTATTGACTTCTAATGTTACCATTGTTGTGTCCGAATAAGGTCTAGTTGTCAGAATCTTCGGCATAATGTTCGAATTTCGTGACGGACCATTTATATCTTTCACTGTTTGGTTGGAAAACACCACGGTTATTTTAAAGTCGGTGTCATTKCCGATCAAATCGCTTTCGGTTTCTGGCACAACTTTCGCTGCTCTAACAGGGATTGTTGTTATATTTAATTGTTGCTGCTTCACTTGACGAGTACGTTGTTGACGAATTTTTCTCACTGAATGTGTTTGCTGTTTCAGCGAATTGCTATTGCTATTGTTTAAGTGGTAGTCATTGCTGTGCGGGCTTTCTCTCTGAGGCTGGGTCCGCAGTAGGGGGGAAGTGTGACGTTGTAGTGTCTGTAGTACATGTTGATATAGGCTACAAATATCTTTGATGTCATGTTCATCTACAATGCGGTTTTCGTCATCAGCTTTTCGAACCAATGACTCTTTCTTGTAGTCGTAATTGTAATTACATTTATCTTTATTTTTAATATTGTTATCTCTATAGGGATGTCTGATATGGGTCGTATTATCGTGATTCTGTTGTTCGTATTCGTTATTTATACTAGATAACGGAAACAATTCGACCTCTGATAGCGTTGGAGATGGAGATGTCAGCACTTTCGTAGCAGATGCCACTTTTGCTGATGAATTTCTTATGATCACAATTGTTTYCAATGTCATTTCTGTTGCTGATTCTCTGAGCTTTCGGACAGTCTCTGTCAAACTTAAAGATCCGTTTGTCGTATTGTTTATTGATGTTTTAGTTAATGTTTTTGTAGGGATATTAGAAAATTTAACATCCGCAGACGCTTTATGTATGTTTCTTTGAAGGCCTTGAAGACGAAATAATTCTTCTTTTTCTTGCCGTTTCATTGTTAATGATGTCAGTGATGGCTTTACTTTCACTCCTTTATCCAAACTTAATTGCCGCGTTAGCTTTGGCACTGTCGTCGACTCTTCCGCATTCATTGCGCGGGAGGTTGTGGCTATAGAAATTTCTTTAGCTTTTCGATACGTTTTTAAACTGTTAGTATCTATCTTTACTTCCATATTAGCTGGCATGACTGGTTTTAATACTAGCGGTATTGAAGTAGTTGAAACGGCTTTTTCGGCCGTCCCTGCTGCCCTCTCGATAACATTCAATGTCGAACCTGTGACATGATAAATGCGAAAACTGGCAAGTAATAAATTTAACATAAGCTAATTACAGTATATTGTATAGTTGTTGTTTTTTTGAGTACGAAGCAGTTAAAGCGAAAAATTTACTCAATGTGGCAAAGAACTTAAGCAATTAAGTAATACTAATTGCTACCAGATCGAGTAATAAAAACRACGTTAATTTGGTTAACATAAAATGCGCAGCCCAAATTAGGACCAGCTATTCGCCTTGTGACTAGCTAATAATAATATATTTATACAATAAATTTGCCTTGATTGTCTGGTTTTTGGGGTAAACGATACTAGTATATATGGAATATTCGAGCATAATGAAGATTTATTTAATTTAATTCACATTTTGTCTTACTTACCTGGGATGATTACTAAAATACAGAATATAATCCTCCAGTTAGAAGTATTCATACCTTTCAAGTAAATTAAATCTTTATATTGGTTTGGAAGTATGAAGTAATTAATGTCTGCTGCTATATATCGTCACCTGAAATGCAAAATAACGTATCATCAAAAAATCCGAAATTGAATGTCTTATTGATTACGCTTCACTACTTCAAATCACAAACATAATATTACATATGTTTCAACGTTTTCAGGTTCTGCACTCATATATGTRCCACTTTTAACCAATATTAAAAATTTGTTTCACTCATGCTCCCTTTTTTTCGTGTTTCATTCATGCCACTGTAAATTTCCGAAAATGTTGTTACGTTATCATGCATTTCAGGTGACGATATATTACACATTATATAGTGTATCAAAGAATAAGAGGTGGTAACGTTCACATAGTTTCCACTCAAATTCAGATTGAGCACGATTGATATGCAATATTTCTAATTTTATGATCCGTCGCATCACAAATTCATTCAATCACTGCTTGTGAATAAATCGAAAGAACGAAATTTTCGAAGTAACTCTGCATATTGTTTATTTTGTTTTACTGTTATGATTGTGTACTACTAAACTCGTTCAATGTGGGTTTCGAGGATTTTATGAGAACAACCAAATATAAATCGCATTATTTAATAATGGAATTAATTGAAAATTTTATTCTTTTCAATTTATTCACTTTGTCTTAGAATTGTTATTATATACTTATTTGTTTATTGTGTGGTTTTCTTTATTTCTCTTTGAAAAGTACAAATGATTTACTAATTGCAGCGGAGAGAAGACTATGTTTACACTAGATTGGTTCACGGAAATGCTATTGATTTGTGATTTGTGAAACTTAGAGGAAGTCTGCTAAAATATACATTTTCGTGTTTATTTTCTACTTTTAAGAGGTTGCGTTCAAAAACAAACTTTAACAAATTTAAAACTTAAATTCTTACTTGAATGATATGTATGTCATATCAAAGAGCTAACCAATTATCAAATAAATAATAGCCTCCAAAGTTTAATTCTAGAGATCATTCCAGATTTGCTTCTGTTAATCGACTTTACCTCTTACGATTAAGAGGTTTACTTACATAATGATTCTGCCATACGACAGGGTTGTCAAAAGTACAATATAAAATTTTTGGTAAGTATAATTTCAAATGGTTTAGGATAATTAAAATATCATTTCTCACCATTTCTTCTGGATACTGTGCGGATATATATGTAAATATTGTATAAACAAACATTTTTCAGTATATAAAAAAAAAAAATAAAATAAAAAAAAAATCGTAGAGCTTTTTTGAAAATGTTTCAGTTAACCGTTTGAAATTCTAAAACCCACACTTAATAACGTAGAAAATGTTGATAAGCTATTATACGCACTCGGTTTAACAAAATAGTCGCTAAAAAATGTATCGCCTTCGTGACGCCACTTCGCTAATTAAACCGCAAAGTTCACACTCTCAGTTGATGTTATGTTTACACTAATTGCTTCTTTGGTCATAGTTTCAATCAGTATTACGGGACAACGTGTCGTATAAGCAACTGAAAATTACGGACGAATTACTATGTTTGCATATATTCAGTTATCAGTAGTTTATTTATTTTTGTATGGCAAGGACTGTTATTTACCGCGCGAAACGGTGCATCTGCACGAGATGCTCCTCGTTAACTGATAATAGTATTCAACGGTGGTTTCCACTGATGTCCACATTTTATACTCCATCCAAAGCTGTGGGAAATGAGAGAATTTATCTTGTTGTTTCAATTCGTTAACAGTGAGAGACAAGACGAAAATTGTCCTATGACCAATCTCTAGATACTTCAATCTGTGATGTGCGGAATAYAATGCTCGCGACAGACTGCAAACGACATCTGYCAAATATTAAAATACACACGTTCTTATGGACGGRCCTATTTTGAYAGCTGCACGACTACACGACTGCAGGCCGACAGTTGTCGTTCTCGCTAACTTCAATTTKATCCTATATTTGCCAACGRCAGTAGGACGACAGTAGAGTTGACAGTAGAATGGAAGATAGAGAGATGAGGTAGAGTGGTGATGCCACTAATATGTAAAATGTAAAATTATTCACAGCTCTAACAAAGTTGACGTTATTTTACAAATAAAAGCATAAAATAGCTCTGTTAAATCATTTATAATAACAATTGATAATTTAAAACAAATAACTTTACCTATTTACTTATGCTTTGCTTAAAAATGTCATTTTGAATAAAATATTAAAATTTCATTGAAGTGCACGGTATTATTATGGCCACAACGAAATTGTGTACATGCAAAATGGACAACTGCGTTGTTTTGTGTACATCCCGGCCATTGTTATGTTGCTGCCCTCTCACAAACGTTCATGTAGTAGGATTCAGAACGCCATTTTCAGTTCACTGTCGTTCTGCTGCAGTCTGTCGCGAGCATTCTGTTCTGCATATGAGCGATTGCTTTTTACTAAAGCTTTCCCCATTACAAAAAAAAAAAAAACAGCACATTGAAGACCAACTGTAATAAGTTAAAAAAACCCTCTACTTTAGATAGCTTTTATAAAGCAAAGTAAACTATGATATCTACTGTTTCTCTCTCTCTCTCTATCTCTTAACTTTCTCTACGTTATGGTTATTTAACAGAAAGGATGGGTCCAACAAAGCTGACGAAACAAATTGAAATGAAACAAACAGAACTGTTATTTTCGTCGTAATCAACATCCAAACAGCAGATATCACAAATCAAGCTCAAGCAATGTCCATACATACTAGTATGTACGCATGCTACTTTATACTATATATGTTTATATAAACAGACAGAATTTCTAACATCTGTCACTGTTATATAAATAACAATTCCTTTAAAYATGTGTTCACACGTTTGTCTATTTAAATGCTGATGTGATGCATGATGGTTGTGGTCAGCAAAATGGCATTTTACAAATACAATATTTTCACCAAAATTCGATTTATTGACGTTATTCATAAAATRCCAATGATAACAAATTGTTAGCAAGCGACTTCAGATTGTTGGATTGGAACTCATGCATAGTGCTTGGAGCTTCCATATAGAGAGTGTGATTCATTAAATACACTTGAATTAATAGAATGCATCTCTTTGTAACTGTGAGYATGGTTGTTGTTAAAAAAGTTGTAACTTGACCATTTCCTACATGGACAGGCATTAATACTTGTATCTACATTAAGATAAGTCAGACTGCTGCATAAAACATTTTCACCGTTGCTCTAAATACATTTACTGCATATGAGGGTGTATTTTCATTGTAATCTGCTTCACAACAGTTTAAGTTAATATATTCATTCTGAATTAATTTCGTGCTTAGTTGGAGGCAATATTACGGAAAACAAGAATAATCGGGATGAATACCAAAATAAGTGCAAGGGAATTTCTTATTTAAACTACATACATATGTACACTGGATATATAAAGAAATAAATATTTCTAACGCCACCGCCAAATTTCATTATTTTTTGGAGATATTGGATTAAGTGTCCACAAATTGTGAATATTAACTATTTGTCATGACATTTGAATTATTTCATATTAATTAAATTTTTTTTTACAGAATAGCTTTGACAGAATAAGAGATAAGAAAAATTATGGCATAGAACGAAGAAGGTTTGTCAAACCAAAAAATTTCGATACGATTAAATAGATTGATGGATGTTGAAAGAAATTTTTTACAATTAAGGAGCAATTATGGAAAAAATAAGAGAAGTGGTATGGCTCCAAAAATAGTCCAAAGGATAAAACGTAGCATTAAATGGATTATTATGCATAAAAATTTCTGTGCGAGACAAATAAAACAAAAAGTTAACTTGCAGATGGGAGTACTACGACTGCAACAAATATTTAGATACGTGCGGATTAGATAGTATTTATAGCAAAAAGTGCGACAAACCTTTATTGACCGAAAAACACCAAAAAACTCCAGTTTGCTTTGTAACAACAAAAATGGACACGAATTACAACATTAAATTTCTAGATTAAGTGCCTACTGATTTCGGTTAGGAATTTATTAGAAAAGAATTCATTTTCCAGGAAAGCAATGCAAAGATTTATTGTTTCAACAAAGCGGTTGATTTCTTGTTGTCTCGGAATATACATTTTCTCGTTTAGATCGCAATTAGAGTATGTGCCATCAGCTGAGGTTTTCGAAATAGACGGCAATTTGATAACGTAAAATRCCTAAGAAATGCCATTGTCTCAAAACGGCCAACAGTTGAACAAACCGTTATTTATTCTTTAAATAATTCTATGCCCAGACGCCTGGAAGAGGTTGTTGCTAACAATGGATTTCATATATTTTATTAAACATTTTTTTTCTAATTTCTTAATAAAAGTGTCTACATATTTATTTCCTTCGATGTATTTRAATTATGTTTGAGAAATGTAGTATAATTTAATACTAACTACATCATAATTTGAATTAGATAATTATTCGCAACAATATATTAAATATGTATATACTTCAAACGCTTAACAGCAATACCTGCCCTCTGACGCTTTGGGCGTGGCATTAGAAGGGTTAATGTAATAGATTAGGTTTCGGATATAAAAAAAGTTTGCAGGCCAATTAGCGAAAATGCGAAGTGAAAACAAGACAATGACTGAGCCATTGAGTCTGAACATGTTCTAATAAAGCAAGTATGCAAATATAAAGAATCATAAAACTCATAAAACTCATAAAAAGTATAACGCCACGTCTGAGGGGGAAATTATGTGTGTTGAAGTGTGCGTGGAATTTTTTTTTAAATCCAGCAGCTAGCACTGATTCAAAATGCTGCATGGGGTTTAGTTGGTCAACAAGCTCGCCGATTATGTGCATATGCTTGAACAAAAGAATGTGCTTACGCACATAAAACATATTTATTAAACTCTTTAAATAAAATTTTTTTTTACGATTATTTGGGAATTTATTCAAAAGAAAAGCTATAAATAAATACAACTAAAAGAAGGCAGTAGGAGTGGATAAATGTTTGACTGTTTGACTGTTTACTGCTTTTATTGCTTCAAATTGTAAAAAATTTTGAGAATAAGTGGGAATCAAATTGGATTAAAGAAATTAAATCTTTGTTGATTTAAAAGTCAACAATGAATATTTTATTCTGATTATGTTTTATTTGATAAGTAAAAAAGTAAAAGTGAGCTTATTCTTATCGTCAAACAAATATTTACTCTGCTCACCTGGCCAGCAAACTCCGACGGTTGCCAAAATARCCCAGTCACACTGTAAAAAGTGGTGCAAAACTAAAGCAATAATAATTTTTTGTTCTGGATCTCTATACAACACTTGAAAYATACTGGTGCTAATTGTATATAAAACTTATCACACTACTGTTATCTTCAGCAATTTTACCCGCAAATGTCTTTTATTTAAATTTCAATTTGTTTTAAAAATAATTGGTGAGTGACTTGGGTATGTCACGAAGATGCTTTACTCTATATTTGTACAAGTCATTCGAAGTTAGATAATGCGGTATGTCTAATGATAATGGCGAATAATTAATACTATTCACTTGCTTTATCTTATAACCCGTCATCGCAGAAATTTAAAAAAATGTCTGCATAAGCCATTGAACGCACGGATATGATTGCTGCATGGTATAGATGTTGGATTCGCCTTGGCACAGAAGCACAGTCACGCGAACACTGTCAGGTTGACAGTTATTAACTGAAAAAAAAACCGAAACTTACAACAACACAACTGAAGTAAATTAAACGCAAACGTTTGTTCTCAATAATTTGGCAATTTTCAAGCGAAGTTATACTTTCAAAACCAAGTTGAGATATTAAATTAATGAATACGGTGTTGCAACTCATAAACAAATATAATAGTGATATTCATTTAACATCGCAAACTTGTGGCGTTTATTGCAAAGTTTGCGAACTTTGCAGCTGTTTATTTTTAAATGCAATTTATTTTGTGACAAAGTTGAAACTATGCAATACTATCTTCAGAGGCATGCATAGCGATTTGTTGCAAATTACAATGATGTTTGTAAATTGGAAAATGAAAGACTATTTAAGTATTATATTAGGGGGATTCTCTTGCTCTTGCAAGATTGCAGGTTGCAAAAATACTATACCGAAATATACAAGGGCACGAGAGCAACCAACCAACCAATGCGTAATCTAGCGGCTGATTCAGTCAATTTATTGTAAATGACTATTGTGAATTGGCGCACCTTCTGCATACATTTTTAACAAAGAAAACTATAACAAAACTTTATAATTTAAAAATAAATTACAAAATCTATTTAAAAGTTACCTTAATCAACAATTTAACGTCAAAATATGACTTTATGTAAAATGACAGCTAAAACAGGGTTGCAATTATATTTCTGCGTGACATTGCACGCAAATAAACATGGCTTTTGGCCCGACATATTTTACAGCCCTACTAGGATAATCGGAATTGACGTACGTKGTATATTTTTATACTCTTGCAACCTGTTGCTGCAGAATATTATAGTTTTGTTCACCTAACGGTTGTACGTATCACCTAAAGCGAGATAGATATAGAGTTATGCATATATAGTGTAGATGGGCGTAATCAGACCAATGGCACGCCCATAAATTGCCATTAACCGAAAACATATAAAGTGCCATAATTAAGCACCTAGTTAAGAC